CCCATCTTTTTAGACAGACTAACGGATTGGGGGGGTTATTGGGGGGTTCCCCAAGGGGCTTGGGGTTGTTTAAAGTTTTGGGAATTATTTGCGGGAAAGGGCCCTAAAAAACCGGGGCCCACTTTCCCCGGGTTGGTTTTGAAAATATTTTAAATTTTTAAAATGAGAGGAGGACAGAAAATTATCAAATTATGTTAATATAAAAAAATATTAAAAAAAATGTATGGTTTTTGCGTTTTAATTTTCCCCGGGCAGAAAAACCAAGGGTTTTACCCTCACTTTGTTTTGCGCTCGGGTTTGCCAGGCAACCACTCCTTCCCCCCACCAGCCAGGCGGGTTTCCAGAACTGAGAGGGAAAAAGCCGTTTAGGGAATTTTTATTTGTAAAAAAACGTTTACCGCTTATTTTTTCCTTTCCCCCAACTTTGTTTAAACTTCAGAAGGTTCCCTTGATCAACTTTTCAAAAGGTTTCTTAAAAAAAACTCTGGGAAGGCTTTTTGATAAAACCTTCAAAAGGGCTTTTTTGGGTCAACTTTTAAAAAGGGGGCTTTTTGATAAACTCTCAGGGGGGCTTTTTGAAAACCTTTTCAAAAGGCTTCTTGATAAACTTCAGAAGGTTTCGGATAAACTTCGAAGGTTTCTTGAAAAACTCTCAGAAGGCTTCTTGTTTCTGGGGTTCGAATCAAAAATGTTAATGATGTCATTAGTTCGCCGCTCCATTCACCAACCCTTTTCCAGGGGGGAAATTTCTGCCGGTAACAGACACCCCCAAACAAAAAAAAAAATTTGGGGGGGCCCTTTTTTCTGGGAGGAATGATTTTATAACTGGTAAATAGCGGGGATTTTTCCCGGCCCAGGGGGCTAGGTGCTCAAGGGGCTTGGCGTTAGCCGGGGGTTAGTACAATGGCTAAAGGATGAGGTTAGAAGTTAAATTTGAATGGGGGCCTGCCCTCGGGCGGGGAGCTTTTTGACTAAAATTTTAAAGCAAAGCTACAATAAAAGATGGGCCTAAACCCCAGCAAAAAAAAGAAACTTCCCCCTCATGCAACTGCTTTTATTTTCACCCAAATTTAAAACATGTGTAAATATTGTTTTGGAACATAAAAAAGGTGTGCATGGTGTGGTAGCAGAGTAAAGAAAGGTACATGACTGTTCAGGTTTTGGCTGAAGCAACTTTTTGTGGTGCTCCGATTACCGTCCATGCGGTAGCAGAGAGAACAGTTAGACTGTTTTTAATTTTTGGCTCCTCTGAACAGCTGTATAGAGGTCCTGGATGGCAGTAAGCTTGGCCCCAGTGATGTACTGGGCCGTACGCACTACCCTCTGTAGTGCCTTGCGGTCAGAGGCTGAGCAGTTGCCATACCAGGCAGTGATGCAACCAGTCAGGATGCTCTCGATGGTGCAGCTGTAGAACTCTATGAGGATCTGGGGACCCATGCCAAATATTTTCACTCTCCTAAGGGGGAATAGGCTTTGTCGTGCCCTCTCACGACTTGTCTTGGTGTGTTTGGACCATGATAGTTTGTTGGTGATGTGGACACCAAGGAACTTGAAGCTCTCAACCCGCTCCACTACAGCCCCGTCGGTGTGAATGGGGGCGTGTTCGGCCCTCCTTTTCCTGTAGTACACGATCAGCTCCTTTGTCTTGCTGACGTTGAGGGAGAGGTTGTTATACTGGCACCACACTGCCAGGTCTATGACCTCCTCCCTACAGGCTGTCTCATCGTTGTCAGTGATCAGGCCTACCACTGTTGTGTCGTCAGCAAGCTTAATGATGGTGTTGGAGTCGTGCTTGGCCACGCAGTCATTGGTGAAACAGGGAGTACAGGAGGGGACTAAGCACGCACTCCTGTGGGCCCCCGTGTTGAGGATTTACATTTACATCATTTAGCAGACGCTCTTATCCAGAGCGACTTACAAATTGTTGCATTCACCTTATAGCCAGTGGGATAACCACATTACCAATTTTATTGTATTTTTTTAATATAATATATTTTTTAATTTATATATTTGTTTTTTAATTTAATTTTTAATTTTTTTTTAAATAATTTTTTCGTTTTTGGGGGGGGGGGGGGGGGGGGGGGGGGTTTGGGGTAAGGGAGGGGTAGATAGATAGTGATTACTTTATCCTATCCCAGGTATTCCTTAAAGAGGTGGGGTTTCAAATGTCTCCGGAAGGTGGTGAGTGACTCCGCTTGTCCTGGCGTCGTGAGGGAGCTTGTTCCACCATTGGGGTGCCAGAGAAAGCGAACATTTTTGACTGGGCTGAGGGGGGGGAACTATGCTTCCGCAGAGGAAGGGGAGCCAGCAGGCCAGAGGTGGAGGGAAACGCAATGCCCCGTTTGGGTGTAGGGACTGATCAGACCCTGAAGGTACGGAGGTGCCGTTTCCCCTACAGCTCCATAGGCAAGCACCATGGTCTTGTAACAGATGCGAGCTTCAACGGGAAAGCCAGTGGAGTGTGCGGAGGAGGGGGGTGACGTGAGAGAACTTGGGAAGG